TGGGGGGGGGGGGGTAATAATTTTTGGAAAGCATAATTGTTCCCACAAAGGCATGATATTTAATTGAAATGGATAAAATGTTTAAGATATAAATGATTGTTAATATTAATGATCAGACTATGGTATATTAGCGAAATTTTTCGTGAAATGATAGATTTGAAGTAGGAGGAGGAACATTGTAATGAAATAATGAGCTATAATATGTGATGTGGGGGGGGAATAATTATGGAAAATAGGGCTCCCATAAAAGTATGTGATTTAATTGAAAAGTAATGTGTTAAACGTTCAAGATACAAATGAATATCAATACTAATGATTAGATTTGTATCATTTTTGATAATATAGTATAATTTTAGAATGTACCAGACAGAATCCCAATGTAAGTTATGTGATTTATATTAAGTATTATAAATATAGGGGAGAGAGATAAAGGCATCATACTCCATATGTGTATAGGAGAAGTTTTTCTTCTTTTTTAAAGAAGAAAAATAAATGGATGGATGGAAATAGAACAGACAAAGAATAATAAATATTATGATCTGAATTGAGAGGAGATAATAAAATTGAGAAAATTTAAAAGAGAGTAGAAGTTATATAGAAAATTGAAAATGTTAATAAGATATGAAATGGTATATAAAAGGAATATGAATTTGAATTTGTGTCTGTACCAAGAGTTATAACCCGGGACTAAGCAACTTTCAGAAAAGAGATTTTTTATGCTTTTATGTTTTGTGTTTTTGTGTATGTATGTATTGTTTGTTTTGAAGAATTAATAAAACTTGTTTTTTTTAAAAAAAAAAAAAAACACACACCCCACACACAATGTAAAAGTGCTTTCTCAACAAAATCCTACCCATCTACTAGCATAATTCTCATTTATTTATTATTGATTAAATTAATAAAAATATTACTTAAACGCAGTCTTGTTTTTTAGATTATTCTTTGTTTGAATACAGTGAAACTTTATGTATAAACATGATTGCTGCCCGCTATTCTATATTCTTTGGAAAGTGCCCTAATGTTGTTCTATTTTCTTTGGAAGTGAGATATAACCCAAGTAAAATTTAAAAAAAAAATAGTTTGGTTCATCAACATAGGAGGCTATTTAAATTTTTAGGCCTTTAACAATAAAGTTAGAGTAGATGTTATAATTCCACATCTTTTTATTTTTATTTTTTATTAATTACACATTAGAATATTGGATACAGTGCACATCTTAAAATTGGTGTATGGCTCCAGAAGCGTTCAGGATCATACATTTGAAATTCAGCACAATGTATTACTACTTTTTAAAAATAAAACAAACCCTAAAATTGCCGGGATTACAGCTAGAGTTGGAACGTTTAGAACCAACACCCTCTTTTTACGGTCCTTGGTCTGGCAACAGTTTCCTGGGATTTTTAGATGGAACCTGCAGGATAAACCTTAGAACAGGCAATACCCTATTAGCCTTGCTCATTTATGATGTGGTTTCACACACTTGGTTACTGAAGTCTACCCCAAAAATGACCCTGTAGCCTATAGCCTAAGAAAGGTTTCCACACCTTATAGCACTTTCCCTTACAATTAACTAACCTGGCGCAACCGATCAAGGGTAAGGATGTTTTCTACAGCCAACACACTTCGAAGGTATTTTTCTATATAGACTTCTGAAGCAGCAGAAGCTGCGTCTTCAACATTGGCCACCATTCTTGCTAATGCCTCACGTTCCTCTGCCCCCTGAGCATCCTGAAAGAGAAAACCTCTCAAGTTAGTGAGCCCATTGGCACATAAAAACGTAAAAGAAACATAGGTCACAGGACACTTAATATGCTGATATTTGTGATGGCAAGTTTAGAACTAGCGGGGAGCATAAATCCCTTCAAAAGTATAGCTGAAGAAATACTCTCTTGTTCTCTCTACTCTGTCTTCTCTCATACACAGACACACTCTGATATACACAAAATTGGCACGTCTCAGGCAGACTAAAGACTGAATTTAAATAAGGTGCTTTTCAATAGTCAATATTCATTCAACTATTGAACGTTCTTCAGTTTTTTTAAAGTTAAGCAGTTTAAATATAAATGCCTTTGTGCATTTTAAAAAACTTTTTAAAAGTCTAGATGAGGGGTCCCAAACTTGGCAACTTTAAGACTTGTGGACGTCAACTCCCAAAATTGCTGGCTGGCTGGCTAGGCTGAGGAATTCTGGGAGTTGAAGTCCACAAGTCTTAAAGTTGCCAAGTTTGGAGACCTCTGGTCTAAATGCAGAAATGGGAGAGTAGACTTCATAGATATTTGAGTAGCAGTCATAACATAGAAAGAAACTGATCTTTTCATTTTGATCTCCAAATAAGTGAAAGCGTGTGTGGACAGATAGCATTAAGTATTAAGAAACAGGATCTGTAAGATAAGGTGAGCTGAGCTGGTAGATACATATTTCTAACATGGCTCATGTTGAACTAGGAATATGGGAGAGGTTTCCTCCTGGTTTTCCTCTCCTTTGAAACCTCCATGGGAAATTGTCCCAATCGGTTGTAAGCATATGTTAAAAACCCAACATGTGGATTCTCTTAGGGTGTGATTTAGGAAACATATGATTGTATGCTCTCTAAGACTAGCAAGGGAAATTGGCTTGTATTTGCGTGGGCATATTTAGAAACAACATTACTTGAGTTACTTGTAATATTCACCTCTGGGATATTTGAAACGATTTCAAAGGTGATTCCACAGCCAGGTACAGAACTCCGGTAAGACATTCTTCTCATGAAACTCTGAGCAAAACCCTAGAGATGAAAAAGAGATCTTGTTGTTTCATATAAGTCAATACTAAAAACAGATATTTCTCTTTCAGTAAGGTTAAACCAATACTCGTATCAGCAGCAGATTATTTAGCACGAAAGAAAAGCAAACAGCAACAGATTAGCCAAAGGAAAGACACAACAGAGCCATTTAATTTTTGGAAACCCTGTTTGTGTGGTGGACAATAATACTCCCTTGGCCATCTCCATGCCATATATATTACAAATGAACAACCTGCTCACTCACTTTTAATAAAGTAACCTCCTTCGTACCCAATTAAACATATTACTTTCACGATCATACTACAAAAATCTCCTTTTGGGGGTTATTCACACATTGTGAAATGACTCCAGTTTTGGAACCCTTTAATTTTCTTTTCCCCACAGTATGGAAATATTTGGGGATCTGGGTGGAATTCAAGCAGGCTTGTGTTCCATTAAAAAAAGGTAAAGAGGGATCAAACATTGCTCAGGTACCCAGGAAGTAAATACGTGAAATGATCCCAAATTCTTGATGCTTGATGCTTCGATCATAATAGAATGCTGACAAGGTGACCGCTTAATTGTCACGCTGGGTTTTCTTTTTTTTTTTTCTATGCATGTGCATATTTACTTGTGAGCTTGGAATTACTGGTGCTTTGAATTGCCAACAAACCTGATTTCTGAATCCCAGGCCACTGGGATCATTACAAACAATGATTTAAGAGGATCAGTGACATTGTTTATTCTGACAGGAAGGTTCATGAGGTTAAAATCTTGACTCCTGAATTAATGCAGAGATGAGTCATCCAAAGTTGCTAGGTACTTGGAAGGTTATTGATACAGTTTTGTAATACATGCTTGAATTGTGTGTGTATTGACAAAAGACAGAATAGCTAAATAGCCCAGAGAGTCTAGCAAGCTGCATAGAAAATACATTTATAGAGAATTTATGCTAATGGATGTAATGAACTACACCAACTGAGCATATTTAGCATTGGCTATCCATGGTCAATGGCAGAGAGCATGCTTTGAAACTTTGATCTCCAACATCTCCAATAAAGTGACCTCTAGAAGCTGTCCCACATTTGAAATTTTGGAAAACTGCTGCCAGCCAGAGGAAAGATGAGCCCAAAATCTGAAACAATATATGACACCTCTATTAGCCTTATAGCCCTTCTATTATATAAGGAGCCTCTGTGGCGCAGTGGTTAGAGTGCAGTATTGCAAGCTACTTCTGCAGCCAGCTGCCTACAATTTGGCAGTTCAAATCCCACCAAGGCTCAAGGTTGACTCAGCCTTCCATCCTTCCGAGGTGGGTAAAATGAGGATCCAGATTGTTGGGGGCAATATGCTGACTCTGTAAACTGCTTAGAGAGGGCTGTAAAGCAGTATATAAGTCTAAGTGCTATTGCTATAAGCCGGTGTGTACAAACACATGTGAAACTGTTTTATGAATTCTTTTCTAGATTAATATCAGATAGTTTATCACATGAATACCTTGCTTAATGCCTAACAAATATAAACTATCTCAAGAAATTTGTTGGGTATCCAATTTTAGTAGCCCAAGGAGAATATCACTGAGCACCCTATAATTACCACCCAATTTCATCTCATTTTCTGAAAAGTTTTTCTCCCACTTGGGTACTCACCAGATTGGGACTCAATCCCCAGCCGGCATAGCTATTGCTGAGAATACTGGAAGATGAGGTCCACATACCTGGAGGTTGGAAATGGCTGTCTTATGCCATTATAATTTACGTGCTGCAATAAAACAGCAAGACTAGGTCTCCGGAAATGTTTACCCAACCTATATCTCTTGAATTTGTTTAAGCATCATCTTTCTATTGTGTCACCCTCCCTCAAAACTGAGCTGTTGGAGAGCAAGGCAGAAATAAGCGAGGCAGATAAAGCACAAACCAAGGATCTGACAACAACATCAGTAACATTTCAACACACAGCAAAAACAGTTTCTATTACAAATGTCACCAAACAATATTGACTCTGTGGGTTGATGAGAGATGGGACAATCTGCTGGCAGCATAGATTTGCTGAAGCGTGTTTTGCTAACATGCAGAAAAGCTCATTAAGGTACAACCTATCAAATACTGCCTATAAAAGTCACTATGAGATGAACTATCTATTTCAGCAGTAAACAATGCTGACAACATGAATGATCCTCAATACTTCAGCTCCTTGCACACACAGAAGCCATACAGAAAAAAATGCTTGTTGCAAAAGTATTATATTACTACCCTCGTGGAACCTCTATGCAGCATTCTAGCAACTGCCATGGAATCAGGAGCAAGGAACAATGAAAGAAAGGAAAAAAAACAGTCAATTAGATAAGGAAATCTGGCTACAAAGAATACCCCAGACTAAAGTCTAAAACCACTCAATAGATGGAAAAAATACTGTGAATTCCAATCATACTGAATTCAGCACTTCCACCAAGGTTTGAGTACAAACAACTGGAACCTAACTGATAAATCCCAAAATCTATTTAAGCTTTCACTGAAAATTTTCTGATTAAAGGAAGCTGTTTTTTTTTAAACTGAACACACTTTACACATTTAATAATAATTATACTTTTGCCCTAGTACTTTCAGTCTCTATCATGTTGAGATATTTGATGGGATGGCACCCTTCAGAATTTTAAAAGTTATAGCCATGAATCTTAGGTCACCTCTTCACTGCAACAATATGCAACACTATTGACAGTATTGCCCAACATCACAAAAACAAACTGTAGGCCTGTGCACATAAAGACATTCTGAAAGTACATCTGAACTCCAGCATAACCATCTTTAAGGATGCAATAAGGGATCCTAACCACTCAACCGTACAAAAAAAACCCTCTCATTTAAGAGAGACATAAGTTCCTGACCAAAATATTTAAGGTGCTTTGATACCAAAGTTAATATCAGCAGCAAAAAAGTGTAAGAGAATATAAAGTTTTACCAATAGTTTAATCCTGGATAAACATGCCTGGATCCTAAAAGGATGTGAAAATGACCATGAATTTAGATAGCTTTCTAAAAAAAAGAAAATCTGAACAAATGTATGGAACATAGCATTCATTAAAGTCTATTAAGCAATTTCCTCCAGCCTGATGCCTTTTAGATGTATTTACAGTTTCTGGAGTTCTGGCAGACTGGCTAGAGAAGGGGGAACAGGATGGGGAGAAGCCATTCCCTTCTATATATTTTAACTTGGGATTTAAATGATCTGTCTGGCTAGTAGCTATTGGAAGACCAAATGGCTGACTAGATGGATTTTTGGCTTGATCCAGAAAGGTAATAATAAGGTTTTAATAGTGTACCTGTTTGCCATAAACATTGACACAGATCCGCTTACGAAGGACAAGCTGCATTTCTGCTGGATGGCTGAGCTGTACTGCAACTCTCACAATCAGGAAGACTCTCTGTTCAGCCATTGTTCCTCTGCTAAGCTGTGCACAGTTGTGAACTGTGGAATCCCAGGAAGCTTCAGCTTTTACCTGCAAAACCACCCAGAAAAAAATTAAAGACAAACTAGAGCCAGGATGAAATTATAGTATTACAAGACTTTGCACTCTGCTACTCTTAGTACTCATTCAAACCTAATGGGCAACTCACAGAGTAAAGCTGTGTTTTGTTTTGTTTTGCAAAAAAGAGGACATTCCACATATCTATAACAATTCATTGTGTTTACCCACAGATTGTGTTTATGAAGGGGGAGGTGACGGACTACAATTACCCAACTGGTATCCAAGAAGGAGGGAACACATTCTAAGGAGTAGAGTCACACAAGAGATAGCATACTCCAGAATGGACCGTGAAAAGATGAAGAGATTTAGGATAGTCACTCCCTAGAATCTCATCGGGCACGTCTATTAATTTAGGGTAGAATAGGTTTAATCTGTCAAGATTCTGTCTATATGGGGCAATCAAATAAAGAATTGAAATTTTGCATGACCGTGTTATGTCATTCTTGGACGAGGCCTGACATCCAAATAATGACAGGGAGTATGTTAAGTTTTGATTTGTTCAAATAAGTTTCGATATTTTCAAAACTAAATCACAAATGGTTAAGTTTTCATTAAATGCTTAAGTCAGGGGTGCCAAAAAGTACACCCAGAAGGCCATATATATTCCCTAGAGAGTATCTGGGCATGGAGGGGTGGGGAGGGGAGTATGTCTCAATCCAGACATTAAGAAAATATAGTCAACAGCAGGTTCCTAGGGTATGTCTAGGAGAATAGCCTTGTAAGCTATAATAATAGAGGTGCTTGATCATTCATTGGCTTCAGTGGCTCTGTTGGCAGTGGCTTCTCTTGTTTAGAAGATCCAAGGATCTAAGGCAGGAATTCAATTTCCATACAGAGGAGGTTCTGTTGATGTATTCTCAGTTATTTTTATTTTATTTATTTATTTATTTGATTTGCCAATTGTTTACAAGATAATAAGTATAAGTGTATACATAGTTGTGAATACATGAAATGGGTACATATAAGAAAAATAAAAGAAGAATAAGAGAACAATAGGACAGGGACGGTAGGCACGTTGGTGCGCTTATGCACGCCCCCTACAGACCTCTTAGGAAAGGGGTGAGGTCAAGAGTAGACAGTCTAAGGTTAAAGTTTTTGGGGTTTAGGGAAGAAACTACAGAGTCGGGTAGAGTATTCCAGACATTGACCACTCTATTGCTGAAGTCGTATTTCCTGCAATCAAGTTTGGTGCGGTTAACTTTGAGTTTGTATCTATTGTGTGCTCTTGTGTTGTTATGGTTGAAGCTGAAGTATTCATTGACAGGTAAGTCATTGCAATGTATGATTTTATATACCATGCTTAAATCAGACTGAAGACGGCGTAATTCAAGGTTTTCTAGTTCTAGAATTTCCTGAAAGCGCTCAGAAATTATGCTTAAACTATTCCCAAATATACCAACAATGGATCTACTATTCAGGTGGTAAGGAATGCAAGAATAGGTACTTCTCTAAATCAATAATTCATTTTTTTCACTAATGAGATAATAAACCTTCACTGTATGTCTAAGCTCACATAATGGAATGCATGCTTACCCTCTGCTTGTGCAGCTCCATTTGCACAAGCAGCAGGCACAAGTGGCCATTGCTTATGCAAATGGAGCACACTTGTCCATGCTTGCCCGCTGCTCATGCAAATGAAATGCGCGCATGCACTTACCAGTCACCTCTGCAGCCTGGTTCTGAAGGGCTCAAGGCCAAATAGTGGGCCACAGTCTGGGGGTTGGGAACCCTTAATTTAAAGTATAAGCTAGGAACCAGTTGACCATCTCAGTAAGAAATAACTACACAAGATATTTGCCCCTTTCCCTTTAACTCTCAGACAATAAATTATAATTTCAAACTCACTCCAAAATACATTAGTAGAGTGGAAGCCATTAAGAACCAAAGGATCATGCCATGATTTCCCAAGGCTGTTGTAACATCTCCCATTAGCAGCAAGAGAGCCTTCCAGCTCCAATGTTTGGGTACTGCCTTACCTCACTCTTGTGGTGCTTTACAATCTGTAACTCAAAGAATTCATCTTCATCTTCAGCAACAAGGGTAGCATCCCAGCCACCAGCTTCTGGCTCATCAAGATTATCCTGAGAGCTGAAGTCATCTGCTATAAGGGGGGGACACAGAAAGAGAGATTCCGTAAGCAATTGCTGTGCACAAAGTAATATTTTTTAGAAAGGTTTGTACACCATGGCTATGCAAGTGGTTTGGGTTCAGTTTCCAAAAGTTGCTTCAAAGCACATAGGAGCTCAAATGTACTATAGGTAGTCCTTGATATATGACCATAATGCAGCCGGCCCATTGTGATTATATAGCACTAGCACTTAGACTTATACACCACTTTACAGTACTTTACAGCCCACTCTAAGTGGTTTACAGCATCAGCCTATTGCCCCCAACAATCTGGGTCCTCATCTTACCCACTTCAGAAGGATGGAAGGCTGAGTCAACCTTGAGCCTGGTGAGATTTGAACTGCCAAATTGCAGGCAGTCGGCAATCAGCAGAAGTAGCCTGCAGTACTGCACTCTAACCACTGCGCCACTGTGGTTCTTGTCACAACAAACAGATTTTACATTTTTTGGGGGGTGGATGTTAAGCTAATATTGAGTGAACCAATGGCTCACTATGGGTAAGATTTTGCCAAAAACCGGAAGTGCTGTCCCAAAGGTGCTTTCTGGTTTTTCTTTGACGATGTTTCGCTTCTCATCCAAGAAGCTTCTTCAGCTCTGACTGGATAGTGGAAAATGGAAGGACCATCCAGTCAGAGCTGAAGAGGCTTCTTGGATGAGAAGCAAAACATCTTCAAAGAAAAAACAGAAAGTCCAACTGCCTCTTGAAAAAAGCACCTTTGGGACAACCATGTCCCGGATGCCTGAGAATCTCCACAGACAGCCAGAAGTGCTGATTTTCAGCAAAATCCATTGTAATATGTGCTCACATGACCATGAGACTGCTGCTGAGTGCCCAAAGATTGGTCACATGACTGCGGAGGGAGACTGAGCATCAGAACTTCAAATCCAGTTTATAAGTCTGCTTTGTCTAGTCGGTTGTAACTTCAAATAGTCACTAAGCTTCCTGTTGTAAGTTGAAGTCTATCTGGTTTTTTCTAAAGCTGTTTTTCAACTTCGGCAATTTTTCAGATTGCTGGCTGGGAAATTCTGGGAGTTGAGGTCTACACATCTGAAAGCTGCCAAGGCTGAGAAGCACTGGTCTAAAGCAACTTCAACACAACCCATAATTGCATAACTGTGTTTATAAAACTCTTAAGTTGCACAATAAATAACCCTTAGTTCCCGTGGTGAGGATATTTTGTTAGATTAAATCATGTAAGCATCCTACCAGATTAATTTGTTTCAAAAAAATATAAGAAATACCACCACACCATAAATGATCAGGGTATCATTTAAACAATTACTTCAAACAGGATGAATTGGCAACAAATTGGCCATCTGAGTTTCAACCTGGCCTCCATTAGTTTGTAAGTTGGACAAACAATCTGATTAACCAAAATGGGATATTTTTATTTTCTTCCTTATCCAATCATAAGGAGATACATGTAAATCTTCCACTGTGAAGTAAGAAATCTGTGTGGCTGCTCCAACAGGATGTTGTTGCCCAGAAGAGGAAGATTTTCATGGTTAGAGAAGTTAAATGGAGGGCTGCAGTCCAGTGGTGGGATTCAAAAAATTTTACTACCAGTTCTGTGTGTGTGGCTTGGTAGGCGTGGCTTGGTGGGCATGGCAGGGGAAGGATACTGCAAAATCCCCATTCCCTCCCCCCTCCTGGGGGAAGGTTACTGCAAAATCCCATTCCCTCCTCACCCCACTAACCTGCTTTCTGGCTCCGTTCTCCGTTGTTTGTTGCAGGGCAACAAAAGAAGATCCAGCTGGTACTCAGGAGGCAGAGAATAGATGGGAGCGGGGCTAGTCAGAGGTAGTATTTGCCAGTTCTCCGAACTACTCAAAATTTCCGCTACCGGTTCTCCAGAACTGGTCAGAACCTGCTGAATACCACCTCTGCTGCAGTCCCAACGCATAAACTCAGTGCATTTACTTAGACTACATGCCCAGCATCTCTTATAGCCTCCAAGAACTTTTCAAGGTGAAAAGGCAAAGTTGCAATGCACAAAGAAAATGCTCTTGTTTTGGGGAAGGGAAATAAAGGAGAAGAAAAGGAGAAACACATGGTTGATAGGACCTCTTATAACTGCTTACAAGGGTGTTTTTCACTCACCAAGATCTACTCAATATATTCCTTTTGTATCCCCTTTCCTGAAATTCACCTCCCTTCACTAGGCTCTTATCTCATCTTGTTTGCCATAGTGAAACTTACCATTTAAATCAAGGAAAATGACTGGAATGTGTGTCTCCATACCAGGCACAGGTGTCCTAAAAGAAAACAAAAGCCATGGACAACACTGGCATATCAATGCAGGAGAATGTTAATGCAGGACATGTTCCTGGTGATGCACAGCCATTGCATATTACATTCAGTACCCAAGCAACTCTAGGACAAGGCAATGATAACCTTGATGAGCGTAGCTCTAGTGTAATTTTTTTTTCTCTTGCAGATGTAAAGGACAATCAGTAATTTTCAGCGCCGGTGTTCAGTCATGGCAGAATTCTCAATAGCAAGCAGACAAATAGGTGTGTCTATCTCAAGGAACTAGATTATTGTAATTTATGTAGTCAACTAAGTGCAAAGGTGCATGTCTGCCGGGGAAGGGAGAGTAAATAACTACGGCTTCTAGTTTTCATGGATAGGCAGAGAAAAGAAGGTTGACCAAGTGATTGACTGAAGGCCCCAAAACAGTTCTTGCCCTTTACAGATTGAACCAGAAGTAATGGCAAGATGTGCCATTTTTTGACAATCATTTCTCCACGATCCAAAACATAGCTAAACCAATTGTGGTAGGCATACACAATGTGGGGATATAGAACCATTTTTGGGTCAAGGATGACACCAGAGCTTTGATTAATGTGCCAGTATCACACTCAAATTAGCAGATAGCAGAGGTATCTGCAGATGGATTGGACAACCCCCTTTTTATCTCTATGCCACATAAAAAAAGGGAGCAGGGTTTCTATCTGGCAACTGTAGCCACCATCTTGACTGAAAAGGCTGGAAACTAGCACAAAACATTGAAAATTAGTCATGTGATCATAGAATGTGTGCAGTTGTCAGAACCCAGAACCAGAATCATATCTAGCTTTGGGGGTCCATTGTCACTAAGCAAGAACTACATCTGTGTGTAACATGTGAATGATCTTATGTGATACACAATATGTGATATCCGAAATTGTATCTAAATCAGGAGTCCCCAACCTGTGCGCATGGCCCACTACTGGGCTATGGGCTATTGGCCACCATGCCACAGGAGTAGTTGGCTGGTGCATGTGTGCACAGCCCTACTTGTGCAAGCATTACTGCAAGCACTGCAGCCCCACTCAAGCGAGCAATGGGTATTTGTGCATGCACACTCCTGCCCCTCCCACAGAACCATCCCCTCTTTCCCTCTTCCCTCCACTCTGGGCCACCAACCCAAAAAGGTTGGGGAACTCTGATCTCTATCATTTTTTCCATACCAATAATTATATATTTTACCCTACACATAAGAAAGAGTGACTCTTCCCAGGGTTTCATCTCTTGTACTGACCAATGACATTTCCTATGCAATTGAAGGGGTCTCTTTGCAGCCATAAGGACTGGAAGCTTTATTTTTAAAAAGGTACCCAAATTCTACATTCAGTAAAGCCTTCCTATACTTCCGTGGGGTGGCAAAGATTCCAGATGCATTTGATGTACTTTTTCAATATTCTAAAAAGACAATTTTGCAAAATATCTCTGTCTGCTCAGGACTTATGAAATGCTGAATCCAGGTTAATCTTACATGCAATACCACAAGGAAAGAGAAGGCTTTTAAGTGAATGAGCCAGGCAATTGCTATTCATTTTTTTCTTTTAAATCAGCTAAAGTGCACTAGCAATAAATATTGATTCAACTCCTACAGAAGATTGTAATTAAACTTTGTTTAAAAATTCCTCTACTTTAAAGAAAGTGCATAGAGACTAAATACTTTTTTTTCAAACATTCTCAGGAACTTGCTTTTACATCTCCTATCCTCCTTCAACTCAGGCATTGTTTACAAATCTCACATAGGGATCATTCTAAAGGCTATTTAACTGTCCTGGGGCAGCTTCCAAAATATATATTAGATATTCTTGAGGCACTGGAACTAAAGCTGATTAACTGTGCAAACACCAAGGGCAGCCATATTTTGTGGGAAATTATACAAACCATATCTTATTAAGTTTTACAACTGCATTGTACTGCCCTCAGATGTGATGACAGTCCCATATTTGGATGATTTTCAAAGAGGACTGGACAAATTCGGATGGGGGATAGTCTCTCAGTTACTACTATTGGATGTCTACCTAGTCATTATTCACAGCCAGTAAATTTTAAACACCAGCTTCAAGTAAGTAACAACTCTGCCATGTTTGTGAACTTCCTATGCACAGCTGGTGGGCCACATGTGACCATGAATGTTGGACTAGATGGACTAATACCTTCACGCGATCCATATACATACATTCCTATTCGTAATCCCGGGTAAATAACATTATGCAGAGCACAAAAAAGGAATAAATAGATAAAAGTCCTGTCAAACTGTGGCCTGTGGGCCCGATGTGTCACACGCAGGCCACTCCCACCCCGGCTCTGCAAAGGCAAAAAATGTCACGATATATCACAATACGTCACGTAACGTGATCGAGTTTGACACCCGTGATCTCATTCATTATACCTCTCCAGAGCTTTCTAGCTTATCAGCTATTTCCGAGCACAACTTTTTTAGTTTTCCCTTTACTCTTGAGTCTTTCACTTTTCCTTCACAGATTTGTTTTACAGTATTATCCTCATTCTTTCTGTCTATATATGATCAAATAGCCTCATTGTTATTTCTTTTGTGTTGGTCACTCTCTTCTATATTAGGTCCACATTGAGTTGGCACCTGTTAAATTTTTGATTCTATCTCTTGTTTTTATATCACTTCTTTAGAGTCCCATTCATGCTATATTCAATTTACTTCGCTTTTCCTGACACAATTAACTCTCACTTTTGAATTACAAAATGGACAGAAGCTAGCTCCTATATGCAGACATTTCCCCGTCTTTCAACAAGCAATATATTCCTTGCAACAGGCCGCATGTTACTCACTAGTCGTCTACCAGCACTTGCACATGTTGTATTTTGGTTCTCAACCAATAACATGGTATCATTTACATCTATGGCACAAACACATTTAGGCCTCCAACCCTCCCTAACTTTAACATCATGACTAACATTCCTTATATATTAACACATTAAACAATTAAGAAAACATCATTCTTTCTCACTTTTACTTCCTGCCCAACTCAAAACATTTACTAGGCATTTCATTAATTCTTATGCATTTTTTACTTCTGCAATTTCCTACTCTTACCACTTTCAAAAACCATATCTTCTCTTTATTTTTCTACCATCTTCCAGGAGGGTAACTGAATTTTTTTCCCTTCTCATCCCATTGGTACAATGCTTACACTTTCTTCTATGGCGACAAGCAATATAATAGCACCCTTCTATTTCTTCACCACAGTTCACCACACGCAAACAATAGGAACTCAAGCAATTTGTAAAGCTAGCAGTGTATGGCTTTTTTATTGCAGGCCTTACCACTCAGCAGGTGCTCCAGGGATCCCACTGCCTGCAGATGGCACCATTACAGCATTCCTCTCTTCTGTAAGGGTCAACCTCATCTCTAACAGTTGAGCTTCCCGATCAACATCATCTTCTGATTTGTCTAGGAGAGGTCAAGAAAGTTTCACTATATACTCAGCAACAACTCCAAAGATGACTTCAATGAATATTGGAAGGGAACTCAGGAAACCATATCAAAAGACGGCAGTATGTAGCTGGCTTTGTTCCTATGGGTTTAGGAGGTTAATACTTGAATGGGAGACCATCAAAAATACCAGAGGTATAGCTTAGATTGGGAAGTCAAAAAATATCCACAAACTATTTATCTACTATTGCCAAGAAAACTACTTAGTTGTACCCAAGTAGTCAACACAATCATATCTGACTTGAGAACTTATTGACTTTTACCAGTGAACACAAAGCCCTATCTTTCACCCTTGCCATAAACAGCAGAACCAAGGTCATATCAACAGACACCTGTTGAAGTTATGCAGGAATGTACATCTGGACTGATTGGCCCATGTGGCCTGAGACACAAAGGGGGCTGGGGAAATCTCTTTCTTATAAGTATCCCTAAGCGCGGGAATAATTCAGAGCTAACCTGAACAAAGTGTCAGAGTTCTGATTTCCCGGAGTTCATTACTAGGAATGATGACATAAGGTTCCTTGGGAGGATTTTTTAAAAAATACTCTTCAATAGTTGTTTTAATACTGATTTGTATATTCTTCTGAAATACATACAGGTATAGACAGAAGATGCCATGCCTGGTAATTCCATTGTGGCCTCTTCTATCCTTATATGCATGTATCCCGCTCTTTCAGTCCTATATCACCTTGTGTTGAGCAGATAGGCTTGGAGTTATTCTATGTGCTTATAGTAGTCTGAGTGCAAGAATGACTTTCCATGCAGCTGAGGATGCCCTGAACATGTTTCAAGTTTCTTAGCTTCCCAACCAACTTTGGCAGCAGTTGCAATGGAAAATAATAAACTACTGATGCTTACCAGGCTTTCCCACAAGTTTCTGCAGTTGTTGATCTAGATATTCTTGGCGTTTTGTAAGAGCATTTAACCATTTCCTGCGCAGCCTTTCTAGATCTCTGTCCTGTGGAGAAATGACATTTAAAAAAAATAACAAAACAAAACATTCAGAAGTAACAGTTTGCTTCTGAATGTGGATGTTTGAATCTATGCATGCAAAATGTTTTGAAACTTAGCTCTCAGGACAATTAAATAGCCACTGAAAGTAAAGCAAAAAAAAAAAAAAGCAATGTGCTAAAGATACCCTTAGTTGCACTTGTAAGGCCATAGGTAACCAATGCAGCTTGTGCAATAGCAGTGGAACATGAGCGGAATGCCATATGCCTACAACTACTTGTACTGCCTCATTCTGGACCAGCCACAGTTTCCAAGTGTTCTTCAAAAGAATTTCAACATGATTTTGTAACCATAGCCCAAGCAACCATAGCCCAAGCAACCATAGCCCAAGCCCAACCATAGCCCAACCGTAGGATACAAATTACTGTGGAGGGTCTCCCAATCCAGGAATGAGTACAATTGATACACAAGAGGGATTACGGTAATGCAAAGATCTTCCTCACCATGGTGGTTCTTCCAGTATGAACCAGGAGTCTAGAACTCCCAAATTGCTCTTCAGTTCTACTAGGGGTAATGCAACGTGAACTAATTCTAACAACTGAAATCGTCCAAATCCATATCCACTTGTTTTGTATAGTTGAGATTAAGTTTGATTATCTCCCTCCAGACTCCCACAATCTACTGACACTGAGACAATGCTTGATTGGCCCAGAATTAAGATACACATCAGGGTATCATCAATGATTTTTTTTTGTCCCGTTACCTGTCCCAGCTTCTGCCAACCTAGCAATTCGAAAGCATGTAAAAATGCAAGTAGAAAAATAGGGACCACTTTGGTGGGAAGGTAAGAGAGTTCCATGCGCCTTCGGCATTTAGTTATGCCGGCCACATGACCACAGAGACATTTTCGGACAGCACTGGCTCTTCGGCTTCGTAACGGAGATGAGCACCGCCCCCTAGAGCCGGAAACGACTAGCACGTATGTGCGAGGGGAACCTTTACCATCATCAGTGAACTGATAATATATGTATCTGGATGTCACTGAATGACCTTGCCCAGCAGCTTCATGTTAATGTTGAACAGTAATGAAAAGAATTTAGAGCCCTGCCTGAGGGGTCTAGGGCCAGACTGCACTCCCCAATATCTGGAACAGGCCAGTGAAGGAACATTTATTTTGTGCCATCCCTTCCCAATCCTCTGAGCCAGTCTAGAAGGATACAATGACTGATGGTTTGAAAACTGACCAGAAATCAAGAATCCAACTGACAAGATACATTTTATTTATTTATTAAATTTATAATTATTTATTAAATGTATATGCTTCCTATCTCACTATCCAAAGCTCTATCCCCATCATAAATCTTCCAAAGTAGTCCACAAGTGTAACCAATGCTGTTTCAGTACTATGCCCAGACTTATTTTATTCTTACCATGTTTTTTAAAAATTAAATTAAAATTATCTTATTTGATTAATGACCATAACACTAATAACTTTTGTTTAGAAAATATAATATTGAATCAAGGGTAGAATATAATGTTGATTAGATATTGTTATTTTTCTAGTGAAAAAAGCTAAATAATTCAAAGAAGAAACTAATCACAACATATTTACCTGATAGCTGTCCATGTCATCATCTTCCTCCTATGTAAAGACCATGCAGTCACATAAATTCCAAAATTTTGGCAGCCAAATTTATATTAAACATGCATATATTATATACAAGGAAAGACTCTCAGTTAATGGGTCCATATGGTAGAGAAACACTCCCATTTATAGTTTATTTTTGAACCAATTGTTATTGGGGGGGAAAGATAGAATAGTGCTGCAATTCTGGGACAAAAATGTTCCAGCAGCTCTTTAAAATAGCTATTAGAGTATGTAAAAAATTATCACAAGTTGTTTCTCTTAAAGTTTGATGAAAAGAAGGATTAGGGGTGACATGATAGCAATGTTCCAATATCTCAGGGGTTGCCACAAAGACAAGAGAGTAATCTATTCTCCAAACCACCTGAGGGCAGGACAAGAAACAATGGATGGGAACTAATCTAACTAATAAAACTAACGAGAGAAGCAACCTAGAACTAAGAAGAAATTTCCTGACAGTCAGAACAATTAATCAGTGGAACAAATGCCTCCAGAAGTTGTGAATGCTCCAACACTGGAAGTTTTTAAGAAGAGACTGGATCACCATTTGTCTGAAATGGTATAGGGTTTCCTCTCTGAGCAGGGGGTTGGACTAGAACAGGGGTCCCCAACCGCCGGTCCGCGGACCGATACCGGTCCGCGGAACAACTCTTACCGGGCCGCTGGTTGCTGGGCGCCGCCATCTTTTTTTGGTAAAAAAGTGCTTCCGGTGAGCTTTTCCGGGTAGAAAGCTCACCGGAAGCACTTTTTCATCAAAAAAAGATGGCGGCGCCAGCGCTTCCGGTGAGCTTTTCCGGGTAGAAAGCCATTTCTACCCGAAAAAGCTCACCGGAAGCGCTGGCACCGCCATCTTTTTTGACGAAAAAGTGCTTCCGGTGAGGTCACCGGAAGCACTTTTTCGTCAAAAAAAGATGGCGGCGCCCAGTTGATGCCGGTACCGGGCCGCGGCGCCCAGCTGATGCCGGTACCAGGCCGCGGCGTCAAAAAGGTTGGGGATCCCTGGACTGGAAGATCTCCAAGGTCCCTTCCAACTCTGTTATTCTATTTTAAACGTTATACAGGTCTAAATGAAGTATTTTTGTTCAAGTTCTGAATGCTAGCAGGCCTCAAAAATTGTGGCTGGCTGCAGCCTGATGCTTTGTTAAGAATTCTGCCTTCTTGCTCAGGAAAATGATAAGAGGCTAACTTGAGTTATGGAGCGCATTGTATGCACCAATAAACCATAAGCACTGATGATGTTACCTAGCTTGGTAATGAAACGTCTGCAAGAAAACAACCCAAGAAAGCACCGAGGACTCTTGCATCCTGTGCAGCCAAGGAGATGGATGGAGGAAATCTCATCTATTTGCCTTCTAGTAAATGGATACTTTGAGTTAGTTTGATGTAGTGCTTAAGACTCTAGAAACCAGAAGGCAATGTCAAATCACTTTTGAAATCTTGCCAAGTAAACCACAGGGACTTGTCCAATGCTGACTCAAAGACACACAAACATATACAAAAAAGATGCTTCATGGCCATAGTAATTGCTTGATCAATGGGAAGTCCTCTGCTACAGCCAATTGGTAAACACCCAAAACTTGTTCTCTACATTCAAAATACATATACACATGTACATTATTGTCTTTCTGAAAGCAGGTGTAGAGAACACCATTCACTGACAGGTGTTAACATTCAACCTCCAGCTTTCAAACAGTACTGCTCCCTGTCTCACACAGATGCATGTGACTCAGCACATATCAAAACTCTAATGAGCTCAAGAAAGTGGGTTCTAATGCACCATTCCATTCTGCATGGCAGTTCTGTAAGTTAAATCATAGCGGAGATATAGAAATGCAGTAAGCTTATTTGTCTAAGTAATTCAGAATGACCCACTCATTCCTGAAGCTGAAGCAGAGAAAAGTTCCCTGCCAATGATTTACAGATGGACATTTTTTGTGAGTGGATTTGACATATATGCACGAACACACTTAACTGCTTTGGTATGCAGTAATAAGAATCTTCTACCTGATAATTCTCATGACTTTTTGGTGACTTGATATGTCTGGTCTGCACACAGCCCACTGCTACAGATAAGATGGATTCTTCCATGAGAGGCAATGTTCCTGATTCTTGCACAGATTTCACTTCCACTTGGATTCGGTGTGACTGTCCCTGCAACATCCAGAGAAAATATTATTAAAAGTAGTATAGGAAGACCAAGGAGTAAGGGCGACCTCTGCTGGCAAAAAGTGGTCAGGAAGTCTCAGCATCTTGATCATTCAAATTGATTAACTGATTAATCAAATCATTTGCCCTCTCATTCCAAATTGCTCAGGGGGAGAGAGAACAGCAAATCGAAAACACTGTCTGCATTAAGACTATCATGCTAAGGCAGTTTTATAATCATAAAACACTAAAATCATAAAACACTAAAACACTAAAATCATGCCTTAGCATGATAATCAGACAATTACTTTACCATTCTAGCATTCCTTAATTTTGACTAGCATCACTTTCCAAGATCTTCACCAAAGGTCTTTTTCAACACAGCTATCTGAGTTTGTTGGGGCACCACTGCAACCTAGGCCTCTACTCTGTGTAAACTTGGTGGTAAACTGTCGAGCTAAATCCTCGACTAAGAGCTTATCCTAAGTCTGCGAAATAAAACACTCACACACTATTCCTAAAAGCTGAGCTTGAAAAACGTTCCATTTACTAGGTGAGTGTTTGCAGTGTGTTGGGACTGCAACTTGCAGAATTGGAATGGGGAGGGACTGCTGCAAGTAGCAGATGCCAAACAACTGGAAGGTTCTAGGATGGGGAAAGCTATACTAGAACTGCTCTTTAACTACTGGTGTAGGCCAGAGGTCTCCAAAGTTGACAACTTTAAGACTTGTGGACTTCAACTCTACAAGTCTTAAAGTTATCAAGTTTGGGGGCCCCTGGTGTAGGCTTTAGAAAGTACAGATAGAGCAATGGTAACATGGTTTGGAGCAACTTGTCTTCTTCGTTCACATATGCTTATTCATTCACATGCATGTGATTAATGGCAACTGATCAAAGGAATGGATTCTAACATTGGCTGCTTTCACATAATATGCATAACCTAGTAACTGAATTAATTCATCTTCTGTTCATATACTGAAGCAGAAGTATCCAATTGGACTTAACTTGCCCAATGCTAATCTTATTGAAAGGTTGATGCTAAGATTTCTATTTTGTGCAAATGCATCTAAAAGCTTAGCTGGTCAGATTCACCTAGGGAGAAGTCTTCTTCAGTGCACCGAGTCTTTTCTATAGAAAAATAACTAAAACCTCAGATGGTAGAAGGGATAGTCATTAATTTAAAATATACGTTAAATTACTTCATTTGCATCCATTACACAAATTAATTGAAGAGATGTTCCCCAAACCCCAAAATCTTCAACATTAGACTGTCTACTATTGACTTCACCCCTTTCCTAAGAGGTCTGTAGGGGGCGTGCATAAACGCACCAAAACGTGCCTACGTCCTATAGTTTCTTTTTCTTCTTCTTTTTTTCTTATATGTATCCATTATATGTATTTATAACCATGTTTATACTTATACCTGTTATCTAATAATTGTTTGACAAAATAAATAAATAAAATAAATGTAGAACATTAATGCTATAATCATGCAAATTATATAAATTACATACATTTTCTAGTCTTGGAAACAACGTACTTTGTTGCTTGGGACGAGAAGTCCAAATTAAAATGTTCAATATCCAGTTAAGGGATGTCCAAGGAATTTGAGATTTTTCTACAGTATATCAAGGGGAAGAATTCTGTAATGTGAACAAGCTTGGCCTCCCTTAGAGGTGTTTAGAACAGCAGAGCAAATAATGGGAAGGAAAAATGTGATGCTAAGTTTGTTCATGCTACCACAGGAAGAACTGAGTAGCCTGAACATCATTTGACAAAAGCCAAATTCATAGTGTTTATGTAGTCAAATCAACCACTTCTCTAAAAAGAGAGGCAAAGTAACAACTATTGACATTATTGATGGTCTTTACCATCTTACCTGCCTGAGCTGAAAAATGCCACCTGAATGTACATCCTTTGCTGGAGTTACTTCTACTGGACAGTATTCTCCATTCTCATTGAGTTCCAGAATCTGAACCCATAGCTCCACTTTGCGGGTGACCTCACTCCACCTACCAAGCACAATTTTTAAGACAAATGAAACACTATGCCCTTTGGAAAAGTGTTCAAAGATTTTACTTTGCTTTGGAAACTATACACCAAGAGAAGAGATGTTTGCAAGTATAAGGATGTATGTGTGAAAGAGAGGAAGAGGGAGTATATGAAAGAAAGAAAGAAAGAAAGAAAGAAAGAAAGAAAGAAAGAAAGAAAGAAAGAAAGAAAGAAAGAAAGAAAGAAAGAAAGAAAGAAAGAAAGAAAGAAAGAAAGAAA